AGGATGCGGCCCTGGCGCTTCCACCCCAAGCAGCCCAGAGTACTCTGCAGTGACCCGGCAAGGGAGGGCGAATCCCAGGGTCTCATAGCCCCCCTTAGCAATCTCTGGAAACCCTTTGCTCAGGGATGGGCATTTAGAGACACCCCGTTTTGGAGCGTGCAGATCATCAGCTCACCTTATAGGACAAGCCACATTTCTGGGCTACCTCCTCCAGGTCTGCAGAAACGAGGTCCACCACTGCAAATTAAACACGTGGGGTTGATGCGCAGGAAGGGAGGCCTCGGGCCTCCTGCACCGGACTTTTCCTCGCCTAAGGGAACGAGCCGAGCCGCAGGACCTGGCGTGCAGCCTGGCACACAGCGGGCGTTCCATCCTTCCTGGGGCGTGGTCGCCCTACTCCCACCTTCCCGAGCTCTCCAGAGGCTGTGGGCGGAGAAGGGAGGGGAAGGGCCCCTCCCGGGTGTGCCAGGACACGAGCCGGCCTCCGCGCTAGGCCCAGCGGTGTGGTCAGCACTGGCGCGCGCCTGCGGTCACCTGTCTTGATCCCGCGGCTCCGCAGAAGCTGAACCATGTCCTGGGTGAGGCCCGGGCACAGCCCGGCGCGGAGCACGCCCATGTTCGCTGGGGGCCCGGGGCCGCTCGTCCCGGGGGCATCCGTGGGACCCTCTCTTCAGACGCCTCCTTGGCGCCCTTTTCTGGACCAGGCACGGGAGGCAGGAGACAGCGGCGGCGGCGGCGCGGTGAGTGCGGACCCCGCTGGGGCCCCGGCGCCCAGGGCCACCCCGGCCCTGCAGCGGCACCGCGCAGCCGCTTCCGGCTTCCAGGCTTCGGGGCCTGGCCGGCGGCGCCACCTGCCTGCCGCGGGGCGGACGCGCAGGCTCCCGCGACCCAGCGATTGGGGCGGAGACGGCGCTGGCGGAAAGGAGCCACGTTCCCCTCGCCGCTGCCACCACGCTCAGCGCCCGCGTAGGCCTCCACCCTCTCCCGGATCACGCCTCGGTGCCGGCCTCCCAGGTGCTGCCTTACGTTGTGAGCGCCGGGCCCGAACATCCGACTACACAGACCATCCCTAGGCTCAGGGACCTACCCGATAGTGAGGAAAGACAGTGAAGAGGAATCAAGTAAATCAGATAATTATCGATCATATGATCAGTGCTAAAAAAGCAGCAGAGCACAGAGAGGGCATCTGCTTCTCTGTTTTCCAAA